TATCTCTCTCTCGCTCTCTCTCTCTCTCTCATCTCTCTCTCTCTCTCCTGTCTCTTTCTCTCTCCTCCTCTCTCTCTCTCTCTCTCTCTCCTCTCTCTTGCACGAGCAGGTGTAGTCACCTGCCACCTCGACCTCACAGGAACTGCATCGTAGCTGCCGCACTCGTGCCCAATGAAGGAGGCAGGACTGGTGCCCTCCCCGATGCGGTCCGTGAAGAAGCGCACGGCGGCGGCATGTGGCGGCAGGCGAACACAGCTCGGCCTCGAAGTCTCACGCTGCTCTCCATGAAGACGCTGATGGTGTCCGAGTAGGAGCCGCAGCCGGGCTGCTCCCGGCCGCCGTTCGGGTAGAAGTCGAGGTGGCCGCACGGCTGCAGCATGCCCAGGCCTGCCGGCGGGGCCGGAGGGCGGCCAGGTGTGATGGAGTCACTCGACAGACTGAGGCGAGATGGTGGGATCACCCGACAGACGGGGATGAGGTGTGATGACATCAGGGGATAGGGGGAAACGGGGTGTGATGAGATCAGGGAATAGACGGGAGCGAGGAGTGATAAGATCAGGGGATAAAGTGAAAAGAGATGTGATGAGATCAGGGGATAGAGTGAAACGAGATGTGATGAGATCAGGGAATAGACGGGAGCAAGATATGAAGAGATCAGGAGAAAAGCGAGAACGAGGTGGGGGACAAGGGAACAGACGGAACGAGTTGTGAAAAGAGGAGGGAGATGCGAGGTGCCGCGAGATCAGGGGATAGACGAGGGCGTTCGAGAGAGGGGACGGGGCGGCAAGAGAGGGACAAGGTGTTGTGAGGTCAGGCCATTGTCAGAGGCAAGGTGATGGAATCAGGCGACACACTGGACGAGACGGCCGACCAGGCGTCCGACGAGAGCGAGTAAGTAAGAGAGCGAGGTGCTGACACCCGAGGCCGACTCACCCACCTGACGTGATGAAGCTGCGCGCGTCCGAGTGGATGACGTCAACGAAGCGGGCCGTCACCGGGGGTCGAGCGGCACCACCGGCGACATGTGCTGGAAGCCGGGCTCGGCTGGATCCAGCCCGGTGACGCGGCCCAGACCTGGCACGCCGGCGCCCACGTACCCAGCCGTCTGCGCGCCTAGACTGTGCCCGATGATATGCACGCGCGACACGTTCAGGCCGTGGCTGCTCTGCGGACGGGCGGTGGCGGCCACGTGAGGTCGGGCGATGTTCGTCGCCCGCTGGGCACTGCGAGGCCTGCTCAGGCGCTTTCGGCCTCTGGACTTTAGGGCAAATTGAAGCATTGAAGTTTTGAAAGTTGGGAAGTTGTTCCCGCTCAGCAGAGCACGCACAGAACACAGAAAAGATAAGTTCACTCGGCTCTAGTGGTCACCCCAACACCACGTCCCCGTGTGGGTCACGTGACCGGTGGGCAGGGCATGAGCGCATCCGTCCGCTCGCTATAATCAGCGAGTGCTGCTCGGACCGCCACCGGTCGGCCCACACGTACACCTAATTCGGCGGTGGCACCGGCAAGACCAGTGCAACCTGTGCCAACGGCTTAGAGCATGTGAGCTTCCGTAAGGTCGCAATAACGTGATGACACTCAGAGCACAGACGTAAAAGTCTTGAGAGAGGGCAGGTTGCGAAAGGCACAGGCTCGACATAAAATTCACACCAACAGGCAATGTGAAAATGGGAGGAGATGTGGCTTCATGCACGGTTTCGTCGAAGATGTGGCTATTATAAGCCACAGGTACATATTATAAGCCACGCAGACATAGTTGATGAGTCAAGCAATGCTGAATCATATGCCCAAGCATTATAGAGGAGGTGCGTATCCATACAGCGACAGCGGCACCCGACTTCGAAAGAGAAAGTTTCACGCCTGCGAATCATCCTTCACACTGCGTCTGAGCCGTTCGCGCTGTGCACACAGAGCAGCCCCTCACCGGCATACCTGCAGCCAGCGGATAAGGTGCGCTGTCTCCATGGCCACCAGCTGCGTGTTGGCCATGGCCTGCTGGTACATGGGCAGCGCGCCGAACCGCCAGTCCACGGCGATAACGTTCATGTCGCCGGCGTCCAGCAGGCACGCCTGCACCATCTATCCTGCCGGCCCGTTTCTGCCGGGCACAAGCCCACGGTCAGACAGGCTTCGGGCGGCGAGCACCACCTGGTTGCAAGCGAACTTGATCTTCCAGTTCCGACCCGCGCTGAGCCGGGCCTGCGTCTGTTCAGGTCGGGTCGCGTCAGACCCTGAATGGGTTATGAATATTTCAGCCACGGGGTAGTGATTTCCGTTGCCCTTCAGTAGTGGTGCCCGGGCAATTACAAATATGGCACCATCCAGTGTTCGCAATCTAACTGCGTCCGCGAACAGACTTCTGCGGTCCGTTCTTTTATGCCACAGACCATGTGACCAACCCGTCTACCGCCTTCTGTAGCCAGCCATTGTCCAGGCTTGACAGCCCCAGCCAGGCCACTCGAAGCACCAGTACCCTGCACCCAGTCTTCTGCTGCCCGTGTCCAGGCAACCGTGGATTGATGCAACTTGGTGTCCTTCTGGGCGTCCATGCCAGCCCTGTTGACCGAGGCCGGGGTCGTCCACCTGCTCAGGGTCAGGTTGCCTGCGACGGTTTATGTTTTGAACTAGTGTGGACCCAGACCTTGACGGCGATCAGGTGGCGCTCCAGCGGAAGAAGTTTCACCGGTCGGTGCAGACGAGTGGTCCCACTGTCCAGTGAGTAGTCGATCCCAACCCCAGCTCGCCCGTAGGCATTGCCTTCTGGATTTTCGTCGATCTCCTTATCGATGTGCAGACGGTTTGGCGTAAGCTCTCCCCAATTGCATAGGGCTCCGGGTAGAGAATAAGAATTATTTTAAAGGTTAGAGATGATACAACGTGTTTATAGTGTTCAAGCATCAATTCATGCGCCTGGGTCGTTTTTTTCAGAATCCAGTCTATCTGACTAAGAGTTCATCGAAAGGCCAGGCGAAATATTAGGATCTTCGCGCAACGTCGATGCATGAGTTAAGTAATTCTCATACGTGGCTACAGCAAACGTGAAAATCGGAATACGAGCGCAAAATGTCCGGCGAGAGGCTGGACCGTTGTACATACGCATGATCATGTTGGCCGTTTGGTTGTTCCAGAGCTTGGCCCAGTTGTACTGAGAGATGCGGCCGATGGTGCCACCGATGCCTCTGAACAGCGTCGGCAGGAGACCGCCGTTGCTGGCGAACGGCACTTTCTCGGCTTCATCTCGGTCAGGTGCTGAGTGGCAGGCGCCCGCAGCGCACAGCAGGAGCAGCGCTGAGACCGGAAAAAGGAATCGGAAGTGCACAAGCCACGCCGGGGGCACAACAGACAGCAGGAGCAGCCCGCAGACTGGGAGAACAGGCTCAAAAGTGCACAAGCTACGTCAGAGGCGCAACAGACAGCAGGAGCAGCACTCAGACCGAAAGAGTGGGCTCAGAAGTGCCCAGGTCGCGCCAGGGGCACAACAGACAGCAGGAGCAGCACTCAGACCGTGAGAACGGGCTCAGGGGACGCACTGCTGAACCGGCCACACCAGGGTCACAATGGAACGCGAGAGTGAGACTGAGAGAACGGAGTCGAAAGCGCTGCTGAGCAGGACGCACCAAAACCACAGCACAAGGTGGCAGGAACGGCGCGACGGAAAACGAGATCAGATCTCAGGTTGCCACTCGTGCTAGAATGAGACGGACGCACTTGACTAATATCGTCGCACCATTCTAGTAAGAGGATTGCTACCGTTTATGGTTCGGAATTCCCTCAACAATTAGAATGAGTATGTGATATCAACGAGCACATATAAGAACACAACAGTCGTATAACAGTGCTATCCATTGTGCATAAATCGTGCAGCCGCCAGAGCAGAGGCATCAATGCGAACTGGAGCGCAGGCACAGAGGGCGACAGCGTCACAACAGGATGCGCACAGGTCCAGGGCGAGCAGTCCAGTTGTGGTAAGATCTGCCGACTTGGTGGATAAGGTCGGCGACAAAAATGTGTGTATTCACGCAAAGCTTGGCGACAAAAATGTTTTCAAAATCATTTTTTATTAAAGGCTAAAGGCAAATGATATATTAAATGCAAAATTATAATTATTCCTCAGAAAACCGTAGGGGGCGGGGGGGGGGGTCGTATCGGGCCACCCTCCCTCCTCCTGGCAGGGCGAGTAGCTTGTGCAGAAAAACGCAGCTGCCTGGTGTGAAGTTATTGACAAATTTCGATACAGTTTACTTGTTGGGGCTTGGCGAAAAACGCCCACCAGTCAAAACACGTCGCACCAGGCTTGGAGCGTGCCGAAGGTATAGCGGATAGTTTGATGACGGTCGAGATGGGACTCGAAGCGCACAC